CCCCGCCAACCTGAAATCTACAGCTTTAAACATAAAAGGCAGTTTGTGGCTTGGGAGCTTTACTTTTCTGATTTCAGTGCTTGCTTGAAAAATTTTACTTAAAATCTCCTAGTTCCACGCATTACTATACAGGCAGACCAAAGATCTGGCCTTATAGAGTCTCAAAAGGGTTTTTATAGTCCTACGGATTATCCTATGTGTGAGAAATTGGACGTGATCTCATTTATAAATTGAAACTTGTTCTTTCCATCAGAATTTCCCAGCAGCTTCTGCGTCTTTTTGCAGATGTAGGGGCTTGCTTTCGTGTACCTGATGGCTGCTGGTAGGCCCTCTGTTTAGGGAAAGTAATTTTCTAGGCATCAAACATTAACTTCGTTTCAAATTCTTCTCTCTGCAGGAAGCTGCACAAGCCTTGATTTATGCTGGGATGGCAGGGTCCAACTTGGAAAATATTCAAGAAAAGATAAATGAGTACTTGGAGAGAGTTCAAGCTCTCCATTCAGCAGGTGGGTAAGGGCTTTCTAATTAAACCTCTGCTTTAATTAATTGAGTGGAAAGTCTTTTGGTGCTGTGAAATGTATCAATGATGTTTGCTCTGTTTTTAATTATTCTGATTTTCATGTCATTTGTGAAGGACCACAAATACAACGAGCACATCAGTGCTTTGAATTCTGATATATCAGAAATGAAGCGGAGACTTACTACCTAAAGACTTGGGTGTGGGTGGTATTCTTTCCTCTCAAATATTCTTAGGAACCACATCTGCAGAGCAAACCAGAGTAATTAAATATAGCAACAAAAATTGATCAGGAACACATCAAAACTCACCTCAGCTGCACCATGGGTTTGAAGCAAGTGGATTCTGGTACTTATGTAGAATTACTAACTTTAAGAGGGCAGAAGAGCTCTTTGGGTCTCATGAGGCTTTGCTTGTTTGATCCAGTTTCAGTGTTTGTGCTTAGACAAAAATCTCAAATTTTTGCACACCTGCAATTCTCAGTTAGAATCATAGAATCACTTGGCCAAAATGGGACCTTGGGAGGTCTGTAGGGGGTGGTGGGTTTTGGGGTGTGATTTTTTTTTTTTTTTTTTTTTTTTTTTTTTGGACCAGGTTGCTCAGGTGCAGTCATGTCCTGAAAGCGTCTAAGGACAGAAATTCCTGGGTGCCTCTGGGCCCCTGTTCCAGGGTGCAATTTTATTTTTAGTGATTTTTTGTTATTGTTGTTTAAATATATCTAGTTGGATTTTCTCCTGTTTCAATTCACAGCCACGGTCTCTTATTCCCTTTCTTTGCACTTCAGTGAAGAGCCAGAGTCCATTTTCTTCATAACCTTATGGTTATTGGCAAGTTGCTATTAGAGATGGCTCTGTCCCCCCAAAGCCATCTCTCCTCCTGGCTGCACAAGCCCTGCTCCCTCAGCTTCTTCTCAAAAGGCCAGGTCCTTCAGCCACAACCATCTTCAGGGGCCCGAGATCGGATGCGGTATTCCAGATAGAGCCTACTGAGTGCTGAGTAGAGGATGGTCATCGCTTCCCCCATCTCCTGGCTATGCTCCTGCTGACACAGCCCGGGGTGCTGTTAGCCTTCATCACAGGCTTGGGCTCACCCAGCTCTGCCCCAGGACCCCAGGCCCTTCTCTGCAGAGCCCTACCCTGCAGGGTGTTAGTCTGTCCCAGGCACAGGGCACAGCGTTTGTTCTGCTTGAATTTTCTGAGGTCCCTGTCAACCTGTTACTTTAGCTTCTCTGTGTCCCTTTGAATAGCAGATGTGTTCTTGAGTGAATCGGTTTGGTGGGGTCTGCAGCCTTGATGAAGGTGCACTCCATCTTCTCTTTCAGGTTATTAATAAAGGTATTCAATGAGATACACACCTAAGGAACTTCTGTGTATTTCCATAGGTGATGTGTTTTCACAAATGGCATAATACTTACGTAATTAAAGCACTTTGTCCTTAGTGTAGTATGAAAGAGATTTTATTTACATTATTTGACATGAAATATCCTGAGACTGTATCTCTGCTTTGGGGAGAAGGGGTGGTGTTTTCTTGTTCTTGAAAAGATGGTTTTAGCAAAGTTCAGAAAGAGTTGGGTTCCAGCCAAAAAATAGGTATTGCCCACCTGATTAGAACTGCTAGTGTTTCAGTACCATGGTAAGGATGTTTTTACAGGTCTGCCACTGTAGAAAGCTAAATACTTTCTTTTTCATTTAGTTCAGTCACAGAACACAGATCCTCTGAAGTCAAAACAACAGTTGGACTTGGAGCGTGCTCACTTCCTAGTTACACAGGCTTTTGAGGAAGATGATAAAGGCAATGCAGAAGAAGCTATAGAGTTGTACACAGAAGCGGTGGAACTCTGTTTGAAAACAGTATGTTAAGCTACAGGTTAACTTGGTGGAATTATGTGATGGTAAGAAATTCTTCCACTTACACAAGTGACTGACCCTTAAAGGCTGGCTTAAAAATGGAGTGCCTGTATTTCTAAAAACTATTTTTTAATCATTTTTTTACCTTTTTTTTTTTTTTTAGTGTTTCGTCCAGTTTTTGTGTTATGTTGCTATTTAACACTGTAAATTTATGGGGACTTGTGATTTATGTGTTTTTCCTGAACTGGATTATACTAAAAGCTAGAAATATTCTGGAATTTTTTTCATGTTAATTTTTGTCTTGGAGTGAATGCAACACTAAAACAGAAATTAAAAACTGTTAAAACTGAAGATGACTTGCTAATTTGTCAGCTATATTACTTTCTGACTACGTTAAAGGAAGTAATTTAAGGGAAATTTTTGTGTGTAGCACTTTCGGAAAACATAATGGTCTACTGATGCCAAAACTTGTAAAAATAGTACTTGATTACTCAGTGCTTAACATTAAAGCTGTTATGAGTGAATTCAATTCACACTGAAATTGATGGCAAGGATGAATTTGCCATTATGTAAGTGATGGAGAATATAATTACAGGTACTGCTTTTTTCCCCTAAGTCCAGTTGCCTTAACTAACTCATTACAGGAAGAGCTCACCATCATAATGTAACTCCACCAAGCCTGTTTTTCCCTTCTCTTCCTTTTTATAATATATGTATATGTGGGTTGTTGGGAGGGGAATGTTACTTTTGCTTCATGCTTTATTCTTTGCTCTGAATTCTTTAAACTGGTTTTATGTAGGCTAAAAAACACTGGGGATGCAGTGTAACAGATCAAGAGTTAGAACTGCTCTAGTTTTTCCACTTGAGCTGTTGGAGCAGAAAGTCTTCAGTCTATTACATAAAACTTACTGCAGCAGCATACTGGTTTTCCTCTGCTATGTTGCTCCTTCTGGTGTGTCAGTGCATGCAAATATTACTTACATATATTGAAGTTAGTCTGAAATTATCTCCTATAAACAGCTGCTTTTATCGGGTATTTCATTAGGTGCAGATACTGCTGAAGTTTCTTTTAATCTTGACTAGCATGTTATTTTGCTGAGATGACTGTAGGCTTTGTCCCTCGGGGTGATCAAAAAGTACCTTCTTCCCAAGATGAAAGAAGATTGAAGGAACTCTGCTATCTTGAAGCTTTACTTCTGTCTTTCTCCTCAGTATATTCAGGTGGAGAGATTTGTTTCTTCCTTACCCTGGAAGTTGTCACAGAGCAGTGATGCTGCTCCTAGATGAGTGTGCTGGTGTTCTATCTCCAGTCCTTACCTTCATACAAGTCTTTTCGAAGCAGGAACTCCAGGGTGTAGTTGATTTGCAAATGAAAATAGTTGCTTGTAGAGGGTCTTTCTAGTTTTGTTTCTTGGGGTGACAGTAGCTTGCTTTTTGTTTCCTCGGTTGACCTAGCTGACCTGGGAGAATTCATCAAGGCACAAAGCTAGAATCAGAAACCTGCTTGTGGGTGTCACAGGAGAAACCATACCTCATGTTGTGCATCTTGCAGATTGTTTAGCTGCAGTAGCTGTGCTTCATCTGTAAGGAAAACAAAAGTGTAAGCTGTCATAGCTGACCTCCCAACTGGGGACAGTTGTTAGCACTCTTGATAATCTGTTTTGGTGCCCTGTCAGAGATTGTTTTATGCAATAAGTGTGCAGGAACAAGATTTTTAAATTGCAAGCAATCTTGTTTGTTTGTATTTTATGAAAGTAAGCGTTCAAAAAAATTTTTTTTCTAAGTCACCATTATTATTTTTTGATTCATTTGAGGAAAAAGAATTGGAACACATGTAAGCTCAGTAGCATACGTAACATTTGTTTTTGTCTTCTTTCTGCCCATAGTGTTTTAATATGGTTTTCTTCTGGCAAACTTTATGTGTATACAGTGCTTCCCATGCTGAAGAATTTTAAAAATCACTTCCATTCTATGAACATTCACTAGAACAGCAAAATGGTATACACTTAGTATGCTCTTTATGCTGAGATTTTAGAAAAACATGTTTGCTCATTTCAAAAGAGAATTGGAAAAAATAGCTAGTTACTGTTTGCTGTAATCTGTAAGTGTGGAATTTGACAAACTGAGCTTGTAAGACCTGTCGTTTTTTTGCATATGTAGCTTTTTCTTTTATTTTGCACTTAAGGCTACTGAAACTTCAGAAGCAGGCCTCCAGTCAAAACTGAAACAGCTGGCTCGACAAGCACTGGATAGGTGAGTATTGCCTGTGTTAGTAAACATACTTGCTGTCAGGTCTAAGCGTGCTCTCTGAGCTGACTTGTCAATCTAGCGTGTCTGTTCCGTACTGCAAAGTGTATGGGTTTTAGGTGGAGCAAGTCTCTATAGAGTTCTCCAGGCAGATGGCTGCCGTCTACTATACCGCTGAATATAGCGGCCGTTGTGCCAACCCTCTGGGAGTCTTGGGAGATGCAGAATTAGGAAAGGACTCAGTGCATTGCTACTAACAAATAGAACTTCAGTCTTCAGAGGTATAAATCGGAATACTCTACTACAATTTTTGGCTTCTATAAAAATGCTGAATTCGGGCCAGCACAAAGTCAGGGTATCCCTTCATAAGGAAGACAGGTAGGTTGGAAACTGGGAAATACTTATCTTGACGGTAGCAATCTCATTGTATGGGTAGATCTGGTGGAGTGGATTCAATAGCTGAAACGTGTTACACGAGTGTAAGTTCAATGTACTATTTTTAAATCAGCTGTATGATGGTGAATAACGGACTATATTGGGCCGAGTTTCAGTATAAGCTGGTTTGCAGCACTTCTCAGTCTGTGTTCAAAAAACCCCATATTTTACATACACGTGACTAGCCAGCAGCTTAATACAACAACAACAACAAAACATGACTCCTGAAGACACAGTCTTCAAGCAGTTGAAATGCTGGGTTGTGAGAATGCTAGGGGGTTTGTACTGCTGTTGTAGCTGCTAGACAAATTAAATCCTGAAGGTATGAGAGGATGCAAATTGGTTTTCTTGCTCTGTGTTTCAGTGGTCTTATTCTGAGGTTCCAGATAATGAACACTTATGCGAATTCTTCTATTAGCATAGTTTAAAGGCAACAAAAAAAATCTAATGAGTTTTGTCGAAAGTAGCTTATATATGAATTGGAAATGCTATATTTTAATTTATTCTAGGACAGGAAAATAAAGAAGTAATGGCATTGGAAATTGATTTTTCTTAGGAAAAGTGGTATTGATCAACTCGGGCATTTGTTCATTCCATTTAACACATGTGGGAACGTGAACCAAGCAAATAAGTGAACCATAACTATGTTTTTATCTTTGTTGTAAAAAAAGTACATTTTTATCTGCTTTAGAGCAGAGGCACTGAAGGAATCTGTGTCAAAGTCAACTCAGAAGAAGTCAACAACAGCTAAACCAAATCAGCCGGTCAGAACATTCTTTCCATTGGGACCTGATTTTTCTTTAAATGATAAACCACAGACAATCAGAGCAGTACAAGCTAGTGAATCTCAAGGTCAAAGATACACTGCAGAGGAGATTGAAGTACTCAGGTAAGTTGAAGACAGATTTTTAGAAAATATTATCTTTTGTGCTTACATTCTTTGTGCATCTTACACAGTAGATTGAAACAGCTGAAGATGAGGTGTATAAACAGACGGCTGGAAACCACCTTTTACAAACCCTGTTGCTGCTATTACTTGCACATTAATAAATTCTCATATTCTCTATGGTATTGTAGTTAGTGGCTCTTATTCACAGAGCATACTTTCTAGTTTGTATTTAGAAGACAATTCCTTCTAACCCACTGCCAGAATTATTTTTCATAGCTGTATTTTTGTATGTTACACATAATGTACCTGACCGAGTTTATGAAAGATCTGCTCTGAGAAGCCAAGGTACAAAGATGGTTTTGTAGATCATGCAACTACTACTTCACTGGAAATTGAGGAAGTATAATATTTTGTAGGGTTGTAACTTCTGTTACATCCAGTTTATTTTGCTTTGACTTTTATTATAGGTGGAATAGGCTACAAATAATTCATAAAACCTTTAGCCTAAATCATGAATTTTGAAAACCATCAAATATATCTTAAAACTAGATGGGTTTTCTGATAGGTGTTCTAACCTTCTTCCTTCTCCCTATGCAATAAAAAAGATTGTGATTGAGGTGATGCTCAACACTGTCCAGGATTTGATCATAAAACATGTAGTGTGCTTGTTGACCTTGGGGTTCTTAAATGGACTGAGGATATGGTCATGAAGATAGAAATGTAGGTGTGTTGGAGAAGTTTCAGAGCATTAAGAATTGCCTTATTAAAATTTCACTTTTTTTCCTCTTGTGGTGCCTGTGCAGTAAATTTTTCCGGGTTTGTGGATGGTTTGGGGGGCTTTAGGGTATTTTTTTCATGTGTGTTTTTTTTTTTTTTGTTGCTGTTGTTATTGTTTCAGTCTTGCAAGAGTTTCACATCTTTAATCATCATTTGATTTAAAAATATTTCACATACCTCTTTCAGTTAACTCCTTGTTTGAAACTTAAATTACATTCACATTTAAATATGATTCTCATTTTTTTGTTCTGTGCACTTTAATGAAAAATGTACTAATAAACAGTATTTTTGTTGTTTGGCAAAATGTTCCAAAATACTGCCAGGTGAAATCTAAGTGTTGCTAATTGTTAATTGCTGTCAACTTATCCTAAGACTATCTTTAATGAGAGGCTTAAGTGGCTTGAGAAATTCTATTTAGACAAACATGGTTTTAAATGTGACTTCTAGAGCTGTGAAGAGGTTTGTGGCTGATAATCATTTCTGTGCCGACATGGTGACTTCTCCAGAGGTATGTACTTGGACAATTAGTGACGGAGCCATCAAGTACTGCACATTTCAAACCCAAATAAATACAGTGGCTGTTCCATTTTCAAGAGGTAGTCATCTTGTTTTCAGAAGCATTATGTCTTGTTAGTTTTTAAAGACTAATTTTGTGTTACCATCCAGAACTTCGTTTTTGGAAGATGATAGATAGGTTTGTAACTTTTTTTTTTTTCCTTACGACTTGCAGGAAGACTTCAAAAATTAATGGCATTGAATATGTACCTTTCATGAGTGTTGATCTGAGGGAACGTTTTGCATTCCCTATGCCATTTTCGTAAGTGTGATTTAATTACTGAACTTTTGGTTTTATTTCCAAATCTTTCCCATATTTGGTATTTCTGTGTTTTCTTTTTCAGAGTTTAAAATGGTGTAAGTAAGCTTTTAAGCATAATTCACGAAGAGGTATTTAAATACTACCACTTCCTTTTTCCAGACTGATCTTAAAACTGTTTAATGTAAGCTGATCCTGCTCTGCAGTGCTTTTGCATTGATGTCTTCAGGCCTATAAGGACAACGCTGTGTTTGGCCTTTTGGAGTACTGGGCTGGCAGCTTGGGTCCATTTCCGGATTTTGCTGCATGCTCGTTAGTTTAGTTCCCTCTGCCTCAGTTCCTTGTAACGTGAAGGTGATAGCCATTTCCTCTGTAAAGGGCTATTCCAAGGAAGAGTGATGCGTAACTGCTAGACCTTCGTTCATGAGCAATAATAATATGTTAAGATTATATAGCTATCATAGACAAAGACACCTGGGGTTGGTTCCTCCCCCCCCAATTTTCTGCTGAAGCCTTGTTAATCAGACAAGCCTCAGTATTTTCAGAACTAAAGAAACTTTTTATTATTAGTTCATTGTATTGAAATAAAGTGAAGAACTTGAGTTTCTTCTGGTATAGATTTTTTTTTTTAATTCCCTTTTCCTGTTCAGTCCTGTATGAAGGAAGCTTTATTTCTTGTTTTTAATATTTTTTCTTTTTTTTCCCTAAAAATCACGAACTTAGCAGTAGTGTTCTTTGAAATTGTTTTATAGCTCTGTACGCAAACTTGTGTAACTGTCGTGCACGTATCTTGCACCATCTATCAGACATATAAGACTGGACATAGCTTGAAAAGCTTTTCCAAACTGCTATTGATTTATTTGTACCTTTTTCTCTCTTAAATCTAGTGATAAATGTGGGAAGTTACCATTATCCCCCAAACAGAAAGCAATGTTTGCCAAGTGGGTGCGACCAGATGACATAACAAATAACCCTACAATGATTTATACCGTATCAAGTTTCAGCATAAAGCAAGTAAGTTGTTCCTAAAGAGAAATGTGTGCTGCTAGCAGTTTATTGCAGGGGATATAAGACCTTCTGGTTCAAAAAGGAATCCCCAAATGTGAGAGTTTTCCTTGGCTCTCACAAGACAAAATAAGTAGATAAATAAGTAGTATCACTTCAGATTCCATGGAGAATAAACAGGTGTGTGAGCAGTGGAAGAGAAAACCAGGATTTGAATTCCAGCATAAAATCCTGTTTTCCAGAAATAGTAGTAAGGTTAGTATGAAAAAGGGCAAGGTGTACTCTGTAGCAAATTGTTCACTTAATTCACTGCGTGGAAAAAGTTTTGGAAATACTTTTAAATTCTTGTTTGACAGGAAGCAGGGTGGCCCGTTGAGAATAGTGGAAGTGTCTTGTTTAGTTTTAAGCTGCAGATGGCCCAAGCTGTTCTGAAATCAGCAATAGATTATGTCATTGGATATGGTTTATATTACACAGCATGTTTTGGGGTGGAGGGAGCAAGTGTGAATGAATGCACTTGCCTCTGTCATTAATAATTCTAACTCTGTTTTGCTCTGTAGGGCCCTCATATTGAGCAAACATACATTTCCTGCCTTTTTAGTAGTAATTTTGCTTTTCTTGGTTCAGTCCTTTCCCTTTTGAAGGGAATTGCTAAATGATGATTTTGCTTCCTTCCACACACCCCGCTTGTGTTTTGCTATCTAAGTTATTAGTAAATATCCTCACTGTTTTTCTTTTCTTTATAGACAATAGTATCAGATTGTTCTTTTGTGGCATCATTAGCTATCAGTGCAGCATATGAAAGAAGATACAACAAAAAATTGATCACAAGGTAAGTAGCTTTTGCTTTCTAAGATCTTTTCAGATGTAATACTGCCAAGCTCTTGCAATATGTTCTATGACAGTTGGACACAGTAAAAACTAGCATTTGTTTCACCTTCATCTCCCTAGGACTCGTGTGGCTTTAGCATTTCTGAGAGGGAAGGCAGCTTTATATAGATGTGTATACAGACACTGGAGTCTAACTTTAGATGTGCTTTGAGGAGGAATAAATAGTTTGGAAGGCTTTCTTTGTTTTTTTAATAGAAATATTACTTATAATGCTTTATGGGTTTATTTTCCTACTTTGTTATGCCAACTGCTGTGCAACAAGTGGTCCATCTTTCATCTCATTGCAGAATTAATGTTAACAACACTATCTCAGTTCCACTTGACCTGCACCTTGTGATAAATTTGGCGTGGGTTTGGCAGCCTCTGCCGGGAGCCCGTTGCCAGACCAGTGTGTGCATGTTGTCCCTGGATTTTTTTTTGGTTTAACGTATACTCATTAGAACTGAACTTTTATTCTTTTCAAGAGCAGTGAGTTCTGCACTGTCTTCTCCATCTTCAAATGTTTGACTTGTATAAATAGTGTCTGTGTGAATAACTACAGATATGTAAATACCGTTCATTTAATAGTAAGATAAATTTGTTTGCCTTGCTGATATTGGAGAAATAATCAGGTTACTTATGGTCTTTTTGTTGCTGATTTAAGCAGAGAACTGCAGCAAGAGCCAGGCCTGAAAAATAAAACCTATTTAAACATCACTGTAATTTTTACTGAATTTGAGTTGCTCTTTCATTAAAAAATCCATATTTATGTTCAGTGTAAATTCCAGAAACAGTCTATGTTAATCCCACTTTTATTGTTATCAGTGTATGTACAGCCAAGACATTTATGTCATAATTTCCTCTGTTTTGTTTTTTTTTTATTAACAGCATAATTTACCCTCAGAATAAGAAAGGAGAGCCAGAATATAATCCATGTGGCAAATACATGGTGAAGCTTCATATCAATGGTGTACCTAGAAAGGTAAATGGCTTTGGGGAGACAATGCGGCTACTGTTTATTTTGTGTTTTTAAAGACTTGATCTGCCACACTGTGCAGCTATGCTTGCATAGCAAAAACTTTAGATACGTTTTGTTGGAAAGTGGGTTTTAATTGTTAAACCTTTTGAGATTCATTTTGATTGTGAAGTATGCAAAAGAATGTAGGTGTTTCTTGTACAGACACTCACATTAAATGCATAAAAAAATCTTTAGATTGCTTAAAAGAATTATGAAAACCACACAGGAACAAAATTATGCATCCCATATTTATGAATAGGGGGTGCAAGTAATCCACTTCTCCACTCCATCATAGAAAGGAAGTTACAGAACTAGAAAGTACAGAGAGGGAAATCCAGGAAGAGTATAGACATGGAATGACCGTAGAGTAATTCACATGACCCCAGGTTTTAGTAAGGGGAGGAGATGCCTGAAGATATATGATAGAATTTCCTAAACTCACAAAGAGCTTCATTTTCTTTTTAGTGCAATAAATAAGGGCATAAAAGAATCACAGAATGTTCGGAGTTGGAAGTGACCTCTGGGGATCATCTAGACCAACCCCCCTGCCAAAGCAGGGTCACCTAGAGCAGGCTGCACAGGATCTTGTCCAGGCGGGTCTCGAATATCTCCAGAGAAGGAGACTCCACAACCTCCCTGGGCAGCCTGTTCCAGGGCTCCGTCACCCTCAGAGGGAAGAAGTTCTTCCTCATGTTCAGACGGAACTTCCTGTGCCTCAGTTTGTGCCCATTGCCCCTTGTCCTGTCGCTGGGCACCACTGAGAAGAGTTTGGCCCCATCCTCCTGACACCCACCCTTGAGATATTTGTAGGCATTTATAAGGTCCCCTCTCGGCCTTCTCCAGGCTAAACAACAAATGTATTTCTTCATATAATACTTAACTGTAGCACTGATTATTGCAGATTGTAGTGACTGATGAGTGTTTATGGGAGTTCAAAAGCTGAGTGGTCATGTTCACGGGGAGGGTGAGTAAGGGAGAAGTCCTCAAAGGCTATTAATTCCTAAGATTTGGGTCAGGAAGTCCCCGAGCTGTGAAATTACAGAATCTGAATGAGTGTTTCAGGGAAGTGTAATTTACATGCTTGCTTTACTCTTAATACTCTTTCCAAAAAATCTCCTAACGGCTGCCTTTTGTTAGGGTGAATGGCCATTTGCTCTTCTGTGAAAAGGATTATTCACTCCTGCACAGAGAGGATTTGACCAGAATATGTGCTGTGTTAGTATGTCAACGTGAAACTGAAACACCTGTTCTGGGATACTCTTTCAGACCGCTACAAATACTACAGTAACAATCTGTAATAATGCCAAATATACTCCACCTAATTTAAAGAAGAATTGTTAATACTTTCACAACTGCTGGTTTGGGGTTGTGTTTTTATCCTTTCTAGAGAGAAGTTGTTTAAATCTGAAGTAGACACTATGGAAGTGATGTGACACATAGTTTGTTTCCTTATATATAAATGTTTACTTTTCTGTTGGCTACCAAGCACAGACCATGCTGTTTCCTAACTAGGTGAGGGATATTGACAGGCTTTTTTCTCCTTTTTCCCACACTGGTAATTATACTGACCTTTTCTGTGGCTACTGTTTGCCAATGATACTAAACATTTTACAAGAGCATACTGTCATCATTGCCATTTTACACAGGGGAAAGCGAGGCCGGCGGTCACAGGTCATCCAGTGGACCGGCGCAAGTAAGAGCTGGCAACATAATCATTTCTTGTTCACTTGGGTAAACCACTGCAGGATTGATTGAGGTGTTCACATCTGAGACTGATGGTCAGATCTGGCTGTCTGAGAAGCTGTATATTAATGAGTCTGGTTTTATTTTTTATTACTTCCAAAGTGCTTAGCTTTATGATGATTTTTCATTTGTTTATTTCACACAGGTAATCATAGATGACCAGTTACCTGTTGATCATAGCGGGGAACTTCTCTGCTCTTATTCTAACAATAAGAATGAATTATGGGTATCGCTAATAGAAAAGGCTTACATGAAGGTCATGGGAGGATATGATTTTCCTGGATCAAATTCTGTAAGTACTAGATTATTTCTAAGAGGCAAAAATTTCACTTGGATAATCTTGGGTCAACAACTTTTCTTCTAGTGAAATAAATTAATTGCTTGGGGGGGCAAGGATTGGGTTTGACGTTTTCTTAAATTTTTTTTTCCTATTTCTTTCACAAATACGCTTAGCTGTACTTGAGATTTAGCCCATCAAAACAGAATGAGCAAGGCATCTTGATGGGCAGAGTTAATACTCTAACTGCAGGATCGGCCCTTGTGGTTGGGAAGTATGTGTGTTTACATAGAGTCTAGATGGAAGTGTTGGGTAAAGTCATAAAATTTTTGCCTGTATCAGTACTGCTGATTTTGGTTTCTAACTGTTGTTCCATGAATAGGACAGTTCTCCCTCATTGGGTAGGGGAGTCAGCTAGGAGAGGAACAGGCTAGTCATTTAGTATGTGTCTGTAGAGGGAGCAAGTACTGTGAGCTGTGAAAGTTTATCAGATTGTTCCACTCATTTATATAAATACGTCATGGGTTCCTGTAAGGTGGTTATGAAAGAAACAGTCATCGTACTGCAGCCAGGCAGACGTGCAAATTATTCTTTTAAACAGTTACAGCTTACTGAAATGAGTAGCCTGCATAGTCTTCATTCGTTACTTAGGAAGCATTTCTGGTTTTACTTTAACATTCTTTAAAATTTTACCAGTATATTTTTCATTTCATGGTGTTGTTCACATACTAGTTGGTGTCTTAATAATCGCATTCTTGGAGGATGTACTAGGTAACCTTTTGAAACCTTTTGAAAAATGATTATGGAGTCAAATGTGGCTTTGTATAAGGGGTAAATGTAGCATACACTTTTATGTATGTTTATGTCAGTGTTGGGCTGCTTTGTTTTGGAGGGCAGAAGCTGGTGAGAACAGCTGTGTTTTATTCCCATTGTTGTCCTCGAACTTGCTATCTGGAAAAACAGCTTGACTTGTGACATTTAATCGCCGCCCTTCCCACCCTCTATGCTTTTGACTGTATTATAGCTTCCTTGTATAATCAGGGTTACTTACTGGCTACGTTGTAATTCCTCAAGTTCCCACCCACCAGTGCTGGTTATTGACACTTCAAGCATTTATAGTCTCCGCTTTTGCTTTGAGGAGTACAAAGCAAAAGAAAAGCAAATAAGCAATATTTCAAGGAGATGAAGTGGGGAGATTAAAGTCTCTTTTTATGGAAATACATGTCAATGTCAGCTTTATCGAAAGGAATAAAAAATCCAAACCCTGAGACTTAGAAGTAAAACTTAAATTATTTACAATGTGTATATAATAGCAAGGTTTCCAATAGCGCTTCTGAGACTATGCTTTAAAAGTCTGTGAATCAACAAAATAAATAGAACACATCATAAAATTGAACATGGTTGATCATTCTCTTATGCTACTGTTGCTCAGAAATTCCAGTTTGTTTCATCAGTTGACTTGCCAGCTTTTGTTTGCTTTTTAAGAGGCTATTTGGAAATGTTGTTCTAAGCTAATCAAATAAGGTTTTTGTTTGTTTATTTTAATATAATCTTGAGCCTCTTATATGTAGAGCTATATTGTAACTTGAGTGTACTGGATTTCTTTCAAGGCACTTTTATAATTTGTGTGCAGACATCATATGCTTATAAATGGATTATCTATTCTGATTTCTTTTGAATGCTTGCATTTCAGAATATTGATCTCCATGCACTGACTGGTTGGATACCCGAAAGAATCGCTATGCACTCTGACAATCAAGCTTTCAATAAAGATAGTACTTTCAGAATGCTTTATCAGAGGTAGAAGTTCTTTCTTAAGTAATTAAAATGCTTGCTGTGTAGTAGTTGCGTTACCAGTGTAAAAGCAGTACAGTCACCACAGATGCTTTGATAGCATTTTGGTACTACTGCAAATTGTGCTTTGTAAAACCTCCATATGCTTTCTGGAAGAAGAATTGAGATATTGGTGGCTTTGGTAGAACAGAAGAGTAAAATGTTGCGGAATTTCGTTTGAGGTGTTTTTTCTTCTTTACATATGAACAAAAAAAAATAGTAGCCCATCTCTTGATGAAGAAAATAGAATATAGAGTCAGAGAAGAGCAGCTTGGAACCAAGATAGAAGTTAAAAGTGTTTTAAATTAGAAGGAAATGTGTTCTGTGTTCCCACTCAGTTCCCTGGAACTTTGGCATTGATCTGCTGTCCTTAGCAAGCAGATATAATACAGTATTTCTAATCGTGTCGCAAGATCTTGATTATTATGCCCTGCTAGTAAATCTCATGGAGGAGGAGCAAGTCTATCAAAACTGCAATACTGATCTTCAGACCTACCATAACAATTCTACTTATGGTGAAAGATACAGCTGCAATTTATAGATGTCAGCTAGCAAGTACTTTGATTTCTTTCAAAATAGTTTTGTGCAACCTGTTTCTTACGCATTTCAGTGCAGTAGAAGGGGGACGTTCTGTTGACTGAAACATCTGCATTCACCATAAAAGAGCATGACTCTTCACAGTGCTTTTTCAGTTGGTTAGGAGCTCTGTTAGTTGTCAACAACTTTTCAGATACGCTGGTGTTGCATTTTGGAGGTGTGACTGCAGTTAGGGTGGGATCTAGCCATTACAGCATTGCTGTTGTTCACCTGTGCTAGCCTGAAAAAGTGTGGCTCCACAGTCCAGTGACCCTGTAAACTGTCTAGGGACGCTGTGTATGTACTTGGATTTCAGCATGGGCTGGGAAACGTGCTAGTGTCTCGTCACAACAATAATTGTTGTGAAATTAACAATTGCAATTCAGAATAATTGCAGGACTTGGTTGTTGTGAATTGACAATTCAGACTCTGTAAGGCCTGTGCTGGGGGACACAAAACATTAGTGTAAACACCTGCAAAAGTACGGAAGCATGAACTTCTCATTCTTCAGGTTTTGGGAAGCTCCTTCAAAATCCTGGGGGTGTGACAGTCGTTAATTTGCTATATGCAGTGATCGGCTAAATGTTGATCAAACCACATTTGTGTTCAGCTGAACATCTGTGAAGAGTATCTTTGACACAGATTGAATTTCAGGTTGATAAATGCTGATTTTTATTTTGTAATGAAAATAATATTTTTTTCACTTAAAGCCTATACTTAAATACTGAAAGAAAATAGTTCCAGTTTCTCAAGCTTTTTCAGGGTTGATTTCTGCTTATAAAAAACCCTATATTCCAGTTTTTATAAAGCAAGGTCCAGCTAACAGCTAGTGTGCAAACGTGATGTTAGTTTGCAACATGAGAAATTTCAGTTAAGCAGTTTTTCACCTCTTTTTTTAAACAGATTTCACAAGGGAGATGTCCTTATCACAACAGCAACAGGTGTGATGTCTGAAGAGGAAGGAGAAAAATGGGGTTTAGTTCCAACCCATGCGTATGCAGTCTTGGATATAAGAGAATATAAGGTATCAAGTACAGCTGAAGATGTTTTCAGATGCCTGTTTGAAACCTGTGTCTGTGATGGGTAGCTGCTGATTTTTTTGCTCGAATGGCTTGTATTGTTCATTTTGTCTTGAGCTCCATTGGGAAATTCCAGAAAACTTAATGATGCTGTATTTTCTTGAGCTACTGGTCCATGTTCCATGTTAATATAAATATAAAAATTACCTTGACAAGATATGTTATTTTGTAAATTATTGTCAGCAATTTTATTTTGCATTTCTTTAGGGACTTCGATTTCTTCAGTTGAAAAATCCCTGGAGCCACTTACGTTGGAAGGGACGGTACAGTGAAAATGACATAAGAAATTGGACCCCAGATCTACAGAAATACTTGAACTTTGATCCCAGAACAGCTCAGAAAATAGACAATGGTAATAAGGTTTAAGAAGTTGTTATCTTTTCAAATAATGTAGATCTTTGTGGTGTATCCCTGCAGGAAGGCGGAAAGAAATGCTCAAGCACAAGGAGACGGAGAGTAAAAAAAAATACTAGAAACTGAATAACCCAAAAGTTTAGGAAATATTTGTGTATTTAAATCTGTCATTTCAAATTTGTCTGAGGTTAAGTAAACTGGATTGTTTAATATATCTCAAATTCATTGACATGAAATGACCTCCTTGCTTAAGCGTTGCTATCTCAGTATCTGGGCACGGGGCATTCAGTGCAAAGATAACATTCTGACAATAAGCTGCGTAATGCTGCTCTTTAATACGTGAATAGACGTCTTGTGGGGTTTTTTTCTTCCAACATTTGCAAATATATCTCAACATGGTTACTGTAATCAGTATTTAAATTAGTCTTGCCTGTATTTGAAGTTGTGCACTGGAGGTAAGTGGGGCTTTTTCCCCTTGCATTACATTAATATATCTATAAACAAATCTTTTCATACACACTATTTCCAGCTGTAAGAGTAGGTTGAGATCTCTCTTTGAGGCAGCGGGACGGCTATGTCACTGTCCGGAGAAACCATATGGAATGATGCCCAGTGTTGTCCTGCTGCATCTTCCCTAAGGAGCAGCAGAGTGTGGCATCTGGAAAGTCAGCATGGCTTTGCTGACGGAAGGGCAGGCTATTGACAGTTGAGAAATCCTGCAGAAGCCGTGCTTTACATTCAGAAAGAAACGTCTGCGATTTTTTTAGAGTATCGTAGCTCTCTCCCCGGAGATCTGTGAGGAAGCCCTTTTGTTCAGTGCCGCTCCATTTTGACAACAGTATGCATCCAAACCCATTACATTGTAGCATTTATTGGTAAAGCCTCGTGTAAATACAGAAGGAAAACTTTTGATTTAAATATAAGAATAGCACCCCTGGGTTTGTGACAGTTATGAGAGATTAGCTCATTATTTGCTTACCAATTCATTTAGTAAAGAATTTACATCTGTAACATTTAAGAGTTAAAATTACTAATGTATATAAATTTTAAGGGAGTTGTTTGACTGAATTTACACTCTGGTCTTTGGTCTAAGTGTGTAGCTATTATGACTGCATGGGTTTTTTTTTAGTGCTGCAAGATCTGCAACTGCTGATGTCAGAGACTTGAATTATAAGGCTGTTACCTTTTTGAGGGTTCATTTCATCAGGAATCTGTCAGCTTGCAGGCATTGTTGTTGGCTGGAGTTGCAATTAAGGGAGCTATGGAGAGTTAGAATAAACACATGAGAATGTTGTAAAGAGGAAGCAGATTCAGGGTGCCAAAGCAGGTCACATAGGTGTTGAATGAAGTATCTTAGGAATACATTTGGACATACTCACATGTTGATTGAATACCTGATTGTGCTGGATGACTACTGAAGTAGGTTGTTGAACTGGGGAAACCTGTTTTTCACTGTGTTACTTTGCGTTTTTTTCAAAAACCTAGGAAGGGGGGAGGCAGGTCAGAATTACATAATGATGTCTCTTTCAATACAACAGATTCTCTCATACCTTCTGCTTAGTGCTTGAGAATCAAAAGCATTCTGACAGCTTCAGAAAGTCCTTGATGATAAGCAGAGGCTAACTTGTTTTTCTTGCTTTAACTTGTTTGTTTTGGGGGTTTAATTTTAGAAATTTGGGCAATGCAAATGTTACTACTAAGTTTTACAGAAGTGTGGGTTTATATAAGCTTGATCTTTTGCCTGGAAAGAGACTTTTGAAAACCAAGTAAAATCAAGGTGTCTGGTAAGGAAACAATAACAGCATTTCCTTTTCAGGCATTTTCTGGATTTCCTGGGAGGACCTGTGCCAGTACTATGATGTTATTTATTTGAGTTGGAACCCAAGTCTCTTTAAAGAATCTACGTGTATTCACAGGTTGGTCCAAGAAAAAAAGTATCTGACTGAATGTTCTGATGTGATGTTTCCTTCCTTCCATTCTTCCTAGTTACAGCTGAAGAGGCTGGGCTCCAACCATGCTGCCTTGAGCCTGACATTACGCTTTTAAATTCTAAGCCCAGGTGTTGTTTTTGACTATTTCTGTAACATTGTTGAAACTCCAGTGACTGTTTTGATGATGCTGTGGACCTAAGTTTGTGTAACCAGATCCTGACCACAGTCACACATCTCTCGGTCAGAATAGAAATCAGATTTTTGCGCAGTCTGTGTTTTGTTTAAGCAGTCGTCAGATGGTGCTTGAGTGACCTAGCTTTTATTTGGGATTCATTTTCCTGGACACTTGCAAGTGACTTGTGCAGTGCATGTTGTCTTTACAGGGTGTGTTTGCTGATGTCAGAGCAGTTTAATTCCTTTTTTTCACCAGTCATAGTTATCACAAGTAATCTTCCTTGCCGTCTGATTTTTTTTTTCTGAACACTACCTGTCTCCTACCTAGTATCCATCTCATTTGGTCTTTTTGTCACCCAGGTTGAGGCTAAGTGTGTCTCAGTTTCTGCAAGCAAGGGTTTCTCTATTTTTCCACTCCGTTATACTGCACTTTGCCACTGCTTCCACGCTGTTTCTGTGTGTCTTACTCTGCATGAGCTCCTTCATCCATAGTACAACTGCTGAGTTTTACCTGTAAAGGTTCCTTCCATCTTTTTGTTCAAATTAATTCTAAAATACACTGTGGTGGCGTAACAAGGTGAGGTAATGTGTATGCTAATCTCAAATCCCAGGTATTAGTCCGCCTTTCCTTATATTATTAGTGGTCATCGTACCCTGTGTAGGG